AAGTATGGGAATATAAGTCAGTCAAATTGTAAGAACATACAGAAACCTGCAGAGACAGCATACCCTGAGAGAATTTGCTTCATAAATTTGTGTCAACAAGACAAGAAGGCAAGACTGATTATGTGAGATTCAGTCATTTCAAATGCTCTCCACTATATTTATAGTGAGATTTAAGTTATTTGTCTGTGTGTATGTGAATGTGTGTCTGTGTGTGTGTGTAAACATAAAAGGCTAATGTGTGCTCTCTTGATTGACTTATGTAGTAGTAAAATGTGAAATCATCAGTATATATTTGATGTGTTTCTAGCTGTATCCTTTTCCTGTCTTCTACTCTACCAAGCTTGAACATGGTAAAAGTTTTGTTGGACAATTACAGTTGTATTTTTATGTTTACTGAACCAATTTGCTTATGCTCATTCAATCATCTTCCTCCTTTCCTTTTGAACAAATCATGTCTTCTTGTCCTGCATATGCAGCTGTTCTTCTTGGTATGGTAGACATTAGCTCGATGTACTTATTTAAATTAAAACTCAAGCTAATTAGAATTAACTGACATCAAAAAGGTAGCCCCCTTCACAATCCTCCCACTTTAAATTTTAAATGCGCGTATGTGCGAAATATGTGTGTGTGGAACGTTTCCCTTGCTTCAGAAAGTTTCACTGCACATCATTGGCATAGCTATTTCCCAATTATTAGCTGCTTTTCCTCCTGCTATATGCAAGATTCTGCCCTGTGCCATAATCTGATTTTCAGTGGCTTAATTGCTCTGAAGTTTTCTGTAGCTCTCATTTCTACTACCATCTATTTTCCTTGTACTTCTTGAATATAGAAGAGAATTTTTTCCCTTTTCTTTCCACTGAGCCTTGCCTGCCCTTTAAGTATATGCAAACCCTGGGTAATCATTCATAATGGATACTCTGGATTTACAATCGTCATTGCAGTAAGGAAAAAACAATGCCTTAAGGATTAAAAGAAAGGATGTTTAAAAGATAGCTGCTCTGTTTTGGTTCATAAGCATTTTTGTCTACCAATGGTGGCCTGAGGACAGAAATTCCTAGTTATTAGAGTGTTTGGTTTAAATTTGAAGTCTTTCTTTCTGAATAATACCATTTTGGAGCGCACTTAGAAGGGGATATATAAGAAGAAAAATCCAAGTTTTTCTTCTTCTATGAATATCTTAGTGGTTTCATAATGGTAAGACCAAACTTTGCTTTCTATAAATCAGTTGGGTTCTGTGTAAGAAAATCATTATTATATTTTTAAGGGTTTTTTTTTTTCAGGGAGTAAAACTTCTTAAGTAACAATTTTTCATTCTGTACGGTTATAGAGCTACCTTAATGACGCAAATATTTTATACAAATTGTGTGTGAAGATATGCACTAAGAAATGGCAAGTCCAGTATGACTTTCCACAAATACAATTGGTAATTAAACCTCTGCCCTGTAACATGTGCATGTTGTCACTCTAGAATCCTGAGGCAGGAGGATAGCAAATTCTAGTACAATCTGGGCAGCTTAGCAACTGAACAAGAACTGGTCTCAAAATAAAAACACTGTCATTCAAAAAGGCAGAGGATGTGGATCTGTTTGATAGCCCCAAGTTCAAATCCCCATTCCCACAAATAAACATCCTGTGAATTCAACACTTAATATTTTAGAAGTTGTGTATTTACTACAAAGAAAATCTCTTCATAAATGAGTAGCAGTTAAACATTGATTCTTCTTGATAATTATCATCTCTAGTATCAACATTGTGCAACATTAGATATTCTTAAATGAAGCCTAAAGTCTTACTCTGTACTAAATCACTCTTATGACTCTAGTTTTCCACTCCTGTCATCTGTGACTTGGGGTCCCAGCAGTAGACCCAACAAGAATCCAGTAATGGTCAAGACTCAAGACATCATGACAGATAATTCTGTACTTAAATCATCTTCCAAAAGTAGAACATTTCTGTGAATAGATTCTCATCCCTGTCAGCTCTGATTCCACTCATATCTGCTTTTCTGTCTTTGCCACTGTGTCTTCTAGTATTGCTACACTTGCATAATCCCTCTATGGTTTTTCTTGGGATAGTTCATGGTATCTTCCTAGAAGAAACATGACTGTCATAAGAGTCCTTTTTATGTATAGACTTTTGTATACATCTTAGTGTGTACCTAGTAGTGATGTTATCTGGAATCCTTTTTTGTGGAATAGTTTTCTAGAAAATCGTTGCTAACAACACATTCTGGAACTTTGTTTTGTGTGAGTTTACTATTCTTGTTACTGAGAACAGCTGTCCTTTAAAGCGTGTGTGCACTCTACTCTTCTAAGTTTATGAATGATTTCTGCATGCATGTGTGGAGCTTTATATTTAAAAGTATATGAGAGGATGTGTGCATGTTGTGTGTACTTTCTTACTTTTATTTTATTTTGTTTGTTTATTTACTTATTTATTTATTTTACTTGGTTACTTTTATAAGGGAATTGAACATCCATCCTTGGAGTTTGTAACTATGGCAGGGAAGGGAGTCATGAAATGTGTGCTGATACCAGTGGCACGTAGATGTTGAGGGACAATTGCATGTAATGGTAAACTTGCATAATAGAAAACATTAATTTATATCAACAAAAATACAAGAAAACATAAGAACTGCAAGAAGAAAAATAAAAATGAAAACATTTAATTAGTTGCTGAAGAATGAATAATAAGAAATTCTAGAGAAAATAAAAGCAAGGAAAATTGTTGTGGTATATTTTTGTACATATGAAATATCAAAGTAAATTTTATTTATTCATGAATTGCTATATCTGTATGTAATTTTCTCCTTGATGTTTGTTTGTTGGTACCTGTACAGAAAAACATTATCATGGAAATGACTTGCTTGCTCTGTTGGTCAAAGAAATGAAAAACAACATTAAAATAACACATGCTGCAATAATTTATGCAATAATTTATCCTGTTATGAGGAGAGAGTGTATAACATCCTATGACAGAAAATGGAATTGGCAGTACTTTAGCCCATTTAATCTTAAATAAAAATACAAGCATTTTTGCATAGCAGGAAAATACAAAGATAAAGTTTAAAGTTTACCCTTTCTATTATTCAGACCTTATTTTATTTAAATCATTTCTGATTGTCAACATGGATTTTGTGATTAGAACACAGTACCAGATATAGATGTAGCTCTGAACTCATCATTATTATCGTGATCTTGGAGGCTTTTGATATGTTAAAATTCTATTTTTCTTAACCACTCACGTTTAAAATATTTACATTGTTGCCTGTGTTTGCATTTGCATATGTGTACATGGAATATATAACATTCTCTACATAAAAGGTCATGTCATCTACAGACTGTACATAATTTAACTTTTGCTTTCTGAATTAGATTCTTTTCACATTTTTCTTGCCTAATTGCTCTGGTCCACAACAACTACAAAGTACTGTTTGGAGAATTAAATGACAAAATCCCTGAAGAAGCCTCACGCCCCATACAAACATATGCACATACACAAAACCTTTAGAAATATTGAATAAAATCTGTAAAGTTACAGGATACATAATGAACATTTAAAAATAAGTTGAGGTTCTGCTTTTACTATCAAAGAATGATCTAAAATGAAGTCAAAAAATAATCCAATTGACAATAAGTAATAAAATACTTGGAAATAACATTAACCAAGAAAATGAAATATGTATACATTTAAAATTATAAAACATTGATGAAAGAAACTAAAGGAGAAACAAATAAGTTAGGAAAACATCCTGTGACCATGGGAAACTGCTTCCCCAACTTACTGTAAATTGTTTTCATTCCCACCCAGTAATGTGTACTTGTCTTAGATGCTCACATCTTTCCAGAATTTAGCACTATTACTTTTGTTTAAGCCACTGTGATATATGTGAAACGATTCTTTTGATTTCAGTTTTCATATCTCTAGTATGTAATTATGCTAAACATTTTTGCATGTACTGTCTCATTATGTACATATCTTCTTTTATGAAATATCTTTTCAAATTGCTTATCCATAGTTTTATTAGCTAATTCTTTTTATTGACCACTGAGTCTTCTCTATTATTGTGGACACAAGTTGGATTTTTTTGTTAGAAATACTTTTGATCAACTCTGGGGAGAACATGGGACAGTAACAAAGAGGTCAAATAAGTTCATGTTGTCCTTGTTTTTCTATTTGTTTTTTTTTAGAGAAGTGAGGACTTTGATCTGACCATCAGACAAAATTCCCAGGTGCTCTAGGGATTGGAGATAAGCACCCTGAGTTAGTAGTGAGGGAGCCACTCAGCTCAGAACACAGGCGGCCCTGCCATGTGCATCCGTGTTTTATTTTTTTAAGTGATGTCTTTAACAGAATAGATGTTTTTAATTTTATAATGTATGACAAGTCATTTTTGTATGAATGATTCTCTTAGTTTTGCATTTTAGGAATCTTTGCCAAGATTTGGTGGTAGAATGTGTAACATGTTTGGATGTAGTTCTGGGTTCACTCATCAGTATTGCCCCCAAAATGAAGAAAATCTTTCGCTAACCACCTAACAAATATATTTCTCTTACTTTTTCTATCTAATGTTTTATATCTTTAGGTTTTATATTGAGACAGTTGGCTCACTTTTGCTTTGTTTTGGTTTGGTTTTTGGTCCAAGGTCACCTTATGTAGTTCTGGCTGTCTTTAAACTCACTATGTAGCCCAGGTTGGCTTCAAACTTGTGGTGATCCTCCTGCTTTAGCCTCCTAGTTGCTGGATTACAAGTATGCAACACCACATCTAATTTGTTGGTTCATTTCTATGAGTAGAATTATTTTCAAAATGCACTTTTTTATTTTTTAGAATTGCATTTGAACTCATTAAAATAAACCATCTGATTTTTAAAGTGTAGTTTCAATATCACAAGATTATTTTATATTGAAAACTTTTTGTAAGTTTTATTAAATCAATAGTATCACCTTTTATCAAATTAAAAACAAAATCTCAAATATATTGTACTTTTTGTCTCTCAGGTGCGAGCATTTGAATTCAACATTCAAATTCATATTAATTCCTTCAGATCATCGGAACTCTACACTGAGTATTTATCACTGAATAAGCCTTTGATGCCAAAGACAGTTCCACTTATTCAACCTTGTTATGTTCAAGCTACTGGTATATAATATGAAATAGGCATTTGAATTAGAAAAAAATAAGAATATGATATTTGCTTGTCAAGATCAGAAATCATAGTGATATTTTAATATGATTTCTTTATTTGTCACATAATTGTACATCTATGAAATTGAACATTAATAGAACAGATATTCGCAGAGAAAATATGAAAACACAAAAAACAAGTCAATTTGGTATTTTATTATGTGAAGAGTTTTAAAATTGTTATGCAAAATATACCTTATTAAAATAAAACAAGTCAAAATAAAATACATCCATGACAATTTTTATGAAAGCAGTGGCCCTTAAGAATGGGTTACGAAAGGCTTACACACATATAAAAAAGATTAACAATATTAAAATTTCCGGTTTTGTATTGAATATTTTATCTACTTTCCCCAAATAGTCAGTATAAAACTGATGGTCTCTAAACCATACTTTTAAGAAACTGATTTTCCTTTTTGTCATATATGCGTCAATTCTTTTCCTTGAAAAGTCAAGACTGTGTTTTATATTTATAGTAGTGATACTCAGTTTTATTAATTATAAAATGGTGATGAGTGTCGTATCAGTTCGTAGTTGTGCTTGACAAGTAGTATGACAAGTTTTCCTAAAATAATATGAAGTCAGAACTTTTATTTCCCTCTCATTTAAAATCCTGAATTAGGGATTGCATAGTTTGTACATAGGGTCCATGAAGAGCAATCTCTTTTTCTATTTTATTTTCAGAAGTACCCAGATGTGCCTGAAATCCCAGTACTGTGGGAGGCTGATGCAAGAGATCTGAAATGTCAGGCTCAGCCAGGGCAACTTAGCAAGATATTGCCTCAAAATTTAAAAATAAATAAATGACTAAAAAGAATGTTGTTGCATCTTGGTGCCCTCCATCACATAAAAAGAGAATAATTGCTAATTTTGTTTTCCTAAAATTCATTTTTCAGTCGACCACTTTAATGTGAAATCTGTCTTTCCATCTGTGAGTTCTAGCATTCCTTTCAAAAAGACAATGCCTTCCCATTCTATAATTTTGGTAAATGTAAAATTCTACTTTTCTCCCATTTTTAAAGTTTTTCAGGTTTAATCCTGTAAACGTTCTTAATCATTTTTGAATATTCCTTGACTTGTGAAAAAATACCTTCTGTAATTATATTGATTTTTTGACATTAACATCTGTTGACTACACTGTTTCTATTTTGACTGAATTACTTTTCTTTCACAAGTCTATATCATGTTGAGACATTCCTTCAATTTCTATTGTCACTTGTCTGTTCATTCACTTTTATTAGTTACTCTCAAAAATTAGCTTCAGTATCAAACAATATATTATCTGCTGGCAATAAGGATACCAATAAATATTTCAACACAGGGGAGTGAAGTGATCTGAAATATTAGTTGAAAAGTCTTGAGTTTTTGGTTCCTCTTTAAAATGGTCTCTAATATTCTTCTACAAAACAACATTTCTTTGTCTAAAAAAGTTCTCTATATGGTGAAATAGTATTTGAAAACATTGTTGTAATTTTAAAGACATAACCAATGTATTATCTTTTTCTGTTTATCTCATACAATCAATTTTCAAATAGAAAGGACAGATTAAAGATCTTATTCTCTGCATGTCTTCCATAGCATTTTCTTTTCTAAGGTTTCTTATGACAGGGTTTTAGTGTAACATATGATGAAAATTACCTATAAATTTCTTCTGTCCCACAGAACCTAAGCTCCTGCCAAAGTGCTCATTAATTACAGTCATACAATAAAAGCTAGTATAAAACACACAGATTTTTAGAATTGTAAATTGGTTTGGTTCCAATATACATGACTTCCATTAGAAATTCTGATATTTCAACAATGTTTCAAAAATGTGTGTGTCAAGAAAATATTGATAATTTCTTAATAGATTAAATATTTTTACAAGTATCCCAGTTTCTGTATTTCCATTGATTTGTCATTTTCTCCAAAAATTTCTCTTTCACCTAGAAATTATTATATGATATGCCATCTATAGAGTTTTGTTGCTTTGCAATAGTTTTTGCTTCTTAATTTCTGTTTTTACGTTACTTTAACTTTAGAATGCAGGTTAAATTTAACTAGTTCCATTTATCTATTCTTAGCTTGATATTAAGTATGTTTTATATTTCATTATCCCAATGATAACTTTGTTATTTTACTTGTAATTTATTACTATTAAAATCACAAAACAAAATTTTGTTTTTATGAATACCAAACCACTTTAGAAATATTTAAAAATATAATTTTATTTTTGACTGGAAATTTAAAAAACCCTATTTTCTTATCATTTAACTCTGCAAAGTATACTAGGACGTATCTATGAGGTTATATCTATTGATTTTTTATCAATGTAATTGCTTTTTCTTTCATAGTATTGAAAGAGCCATTGAAATTGTCCAAGACCAAATTTGTATTTAATGTCCCTTTATGTGACATGGAACATAAAAATAAGGTCACAAAAACAGAGGTATGTATAGAAAATTGATAGAATTTAAAAATTATTTTGCAATTATGATTTTTAACTGAACAGATTGATTATGCTGAAACATGAATTATTTGAACTATACTGTATGACTGGTTGTTATCCAAATATTTATATTATTTAAAACAAGAATAATGGCAATTTTAGAAAATTTTAATGTGCATATGTCTGTTTGTGCATGTATAATGTGTGCATGTATGCATAAATATGTATTACTTATATGTAACGTTTCTCAGTTTTTGAGGTCTACAACTACATTACATTATTTATTTTATATATGCCCATATGCAGATATATAATAAAAATATTTAAGTATTCAAGTGAATGCTAAGATTTAGATTATTGTGTGTTACATGTAAGAAAATGTAGCAAGAAGCAATAATAAACAGTGAAAAAATCCAAGTGTATAAAGAATTAATTGCTACATTTATATACACTTTTTGAAACTGGATATCTCTGTGCAACTTTTGTTTTGGAGTCTATCTAGAAGACAAAATAAACTTATGCATAAGAAAAACATCAAATATTCATTATAGGAATTTGTATTTGCACTACCCCTTTTATGTTTCATATATTGCTATTTCTGCTAATTTTGAACCTCAGCAATGCTACCGAGAATTTATGTGGAAAATGTGTAATACTGCATTTATAAAAAGTATAATATCCCTTGAATTTATAGTTAGAGGTCAATAAAAGATCTCTCTTGAAGGTAAAAATTGTTTGGAGCATAAATAGTCATTACGACTTTCAATAGAACTTTAAGAATACAAATGACCTTGTATGTGGCACTGGAATTAAAATTTTAAAGAACTAAATTCTTGATTTTAAACATATTTTCATATATGTGATATTATTTTAGATAATTGATATTTTATTCAGTTTACGTCAGGGAAACACCTAGACAACTATACCCCCCACCTTTTGCCCCAGAAATAAAACTCGGTACCTTATGCTTGCCAAGCAGGCACTGTGATGCTGAGCTATATATATCCTTGGCCAAGACCCCACATGAACTTTTTCTTTGAGCTGCAAAGGAGCAACATATGTTCCGTAAAGATGAAAATGTGACTTCAGGGTAATTTTTTGTTTCCTATGAGATTCATATCAAGACATATAATGTCATATCATATCATATCAAGACATATAATACAGAGAAAACTTACTGTGTTTCTGGAGTAGAATTTAAAATAATTATATGTAACTTGGCACATGTAAAATGACATATGTGATATGTACAATATATATTTGAAAGTTAAGTGTGCAGAATGGTTCAAGATGGGATAAACACCAATAAAATTTTCATAGTGGATAAAGTTGACAGAAAAAGAACTAGAAATACATATAGCTTAAAATTATCAGGCACCTAATGGAAGAATTAAAACAGTACAGATATTTTAAAATAGTTAAGAAGTGGAGGTACAGCAAAAGGACTAAATTCTCCTCTTTCTTAATGGGCAGTCAATATCTGAAGCTAATAACCATGAAATAGCCTTGTAGCAGACAGAATGATCACACCCAATGTGTTTGTAAATACATTAACTTATAATGCAAAAGATAATTTTGCTATGTGATTATTGATAAGGACCTTGAGAATGGAGATATCGTTCTGGATTTTCCAGATGACTTAAGGGTAATCATGAGGGGTTAAAAGCAGAAAACCTTTCTTGACTTTAGTCAGAGGGATGATAGCATTTTCTGGCATTGAAAAAAGATGAAAATCAATAACTCAGGAATACAGCTGTCCTCTAATAATTTATCAAGGCCGTAAAAGGAACTGTTCAGAAAGAAATATAGTTCTTAACAACATTTTGATCTTAGTCAAGTAGTATCAGTTGAACATTTAATTTACATGCCTGTAATATAATAATTTATGTTTCTTTAAGCCACTTGGTTGGTGGAAATCTGTTGTGACAGCAATAAAACAACACAAATGTATCAGCATAGCTTTTAGACTAAGAATATTATAGATAAAAAATCAAAATCAAAAGTGGCTAAAATAGGGGCTGGGGATTTAGCTCAGTGGCATAAGCACCTGCCTTGCAAACAGGCAGTCGTGAGTTTGATCCCTGGTACCGATAAAAATCAAAAAGACAAAAAAAAAAATTGGCAAAATAACTTCCTTCTGAGTTTCAAATCTATTAAGAAGGTTAGATAACATTGCTATATTTTAATTTACTCAGTGTTTATGTTTTATGTATCTCTCATAGTTGATAATATGCTCTGAACATATATTAATACACCTTTGTGCAACATCACTTTGAAAGTATTTTATCTATGATTATATTTGTAATCATTTGACTTTGCATAATGCAATCAAAATGATATAATGTATACTGCCTATTATTATTTTCTAGATATTTCTTCTTTTTGTTTAAACAGGATCTTATAATACAAAATATTTCAGCACAGGATATACAGTGGATTTTTGATCTTGGGAATACTGGAACACTTTTTAGAACTGGTATATTCAAGTTTAGCACACTGACTGGGAATTTGGGCCCATATGAAATGTGTACTGTTTCCATAAGCTTCTGTCCAAGTAAGTATTTTCTTATATTTATACTTATAATTTCAATGTATTATTATAGTACATTATTCCATCATGTATACAAAACTTTAGATGACTTTTATTTGAATAATTCTAAATAATGTGATCTTTTTTTATTGTTTTTGTATATTCAAGGTCTACAATAGATTTAGTACACATAAGCATTGTGTAATTATTATCATACTCAAGTCAAAAATTTTGATCACCACCCATGATATACATATACTCCCTTGAATCCTTTACATAGGTGAAAGTTTGTTTATATGATTTGATCAATATCTTTTCATCTCCTATACTCACCAGTTTCTGACAAACAATGCTTTCTTTTCCACTTGTGTGAGTTCAACTTTTTAGTTCCCAATTTGTTACCTCAAACAGCCGTGATTCCACCAAGTTTGTCCTTTGCAAATTTTAATACGGCTATTTGAGGGTTTTTTGTGGTTTCCTATGAAATGTTAGGATTTTTTTCTATTTATTTTAAAAATTCTATTAGAATCTTGATAGAAATTCCAATGAATCTGTGGATTATCTTGAATGGTATAGTTACTTACAATGTTATTGCCACTCTCTGTGAAGGAATGTATCCTGAGAAACTACATGCAGCTATCTGTGTTGAACTCTGTACTCCAACGCAAACTGCTTTTCTTCCTAATAAACTACTACTAAGGAATTTTTTGTCTTTATAAAACAGATAAAATTTGTCAGTCACCCCTGGCAAACTTTCCTAATCTTTATAGTCTTGGAGAAGCCACGCTCATTTCATGTTAGTAAATCTGTTTCTCAGTAGAATCTTTATGGCAATGATACGACCTCATGTCCATGCAGTATATACCTAAAGAATGGGCAACTTTTATTAAAGCACATAAAACAGTTTTTTTTAATAAAAGAAATACCTTTGTACTATTGTCCCAATATATGTATTTATATTTCCCTTAATTAGTGAAAACCTATAGAAAACATACTGTATTTTGAGAAAAGGTATACTTCAAAATATTTTTCTTTCAATGCAACTTTACTAGATCACAAATTATGACGCAGAATAAAATCCAGAATTTCGATATTTCATCCTACTCCATTGAAGTGCAATGTCATAGTATAATTTTTTTAAATAAAGTTAACCTGTATAAATGTGTTTGTGTATTTAAACTAATATAGAATTCTTTAAAATATTTCCATTAGGAAAGCCTATAAAATACACAGTTGATGTGCCCGTGTTTTTAAGGAATTATCCAGTTTGCTTTAGAATGTTATGTCTGATTGGAGAGATAAAATCACCAAAGATACTGTTTGATCCACCATTTATATTTTTCACACCTGTTCCATTGAATATAACAACTGCAATGAATGTCAAAATTTTACCCCAAAATTATTTCAGGTAAATATTTAATTTGCCACATCTTCTTTATGTGCTGTGTTGTTTTTGTATGTGTTATATGAGAGTTGTATATAAAAGTTGGCTTGTTTCTATCAAGAACTGCTAGAGTATTTAATTAGACATTGAGATTTTAATATTAAAACTCTCCATTATCTATAGTTAATTCTCATATTTTAAAAGAACAAAATGTTATGTCCCTCCATAGAATAAGAAACAAGTTTAAATTTCAGTGTATTAGTTTTCAGTTATCATATAACAAATCATCACAGATTTATTACCTTAAAATATACATTTTATATTTCACATAATAAGAATTTATTATCATGCAGCTTCTGTCAGTGCAGAGTTCCAGTTAGCTAGCTTCATCATATGCTCAGTGTCTGAACAGGTAGAAATCCAGGTGTTGACTGTAGCATCAGTCTCATCTAAGTCTCAGTCCTCCTCCAAAATCTTGAGTTGTTGAAATATTTAATTTGTTTATCTTTATATTACAGGCATTTCTTTTGGCTGAAAGACATCTCAGGTCACTCTGAAATCCTAGCCATATGATTATATCCTCTCAACATAGCGTCTTATACCATTCAAGGCCCAAAGTATATCATCTATCAGCATTTTCTGTCTCTGACCTGCAAACCTTTTAAAATTTCCCCTGATGAGATCAAACACACCCATGATAACCTCTGTTTTACTGTACTCAAAGTCACCTTTATTAGGAAACTTAATTATGTGAAATTTAACTACAAAAGTAATATTCCATCATATTTAAACTTTCTAATCTTATTCAGTCTGTTTTCAGCTCTTTTGATTTTTAAAATGCTTAAATTCACCATATGAAAGAAATCATAATTAAGAGTCAAGACAAACAGCTGTCATGAAATTTAGACTCTTAAAAATTCAGATATCAAGCCAGGCATGGTGGTGCATGTCTGTAATCTCAGCATACAGGAGGCTGAAGCAGGAAGATCATTGCAAGTTCAAGACCAATCTGGGCTACAAAGTGAGCTCAAGGCTAGCCTAAACTGCATAGTGAAACCCTATCCCAAAAAGGCAAAAAATTCAGATATTATTAATGCTTGACATGGTATAAATAAATGTTTTTAAATAAAACAAAAAAACACAAAAATTGCTAACCAATGTGGAGTTATGAGATAATATATTTGAAAAATAATCAATGTAACTTTTGGAAAATTTTAAATAGCTTATGCAGTAAAATTTTATAGGTATCCACTAATACTAACATCATACCAAGCTACCCAAATATACAGAAACAAACAAAATCTCAAATAACCTTAAAAACATTTTCAACAAATATATTTGAATCATTTTATCAAAACTTCAATAAGTTTCAAACAAAACTTTTCATTTAAATTGACAGATAATGGACTAAATTTTATTTGGAAGAGTTAAGAACCATGATTAACCATACTATGCCTGAAGAAGAAAAATAAACCTTACCAAATATCAGGATTAAGCCAATGTGATGTTAGCACAAAGACAGATAAAATGATCAAAGAATAGGATGTGAAATCTTGAAAAGGGTTCATATGTGTTTAAATACGAGATCTACAATCAAAGTGGTATTGCGTAGTTTTAGAAAACAAAATAGTTTTCTCTTTGTAAACAGTGTAGGCTGATGGAACATTTAAATAGAATACAGTATTTCAAACTTACTCACTGCTTCGTATAACCCATTACAAGTGAAAACCTGTTACATGAAATGCTTTACAAGTGAAATGAAGGCATATATATGTAAGAATGTGAAAACAATATAAAAAGTTCATTTCAGATTTCAATGGGTAGAATAGGATTTCTGGAGAAATAAAAACATGGCCACAGTAAAATGAATGACTGAAAATATAAATAAATGAGTGAACATAAACCAGAACACTAAACTATAACTCAATGAAAATATTAAGAAAACTAGCAGTAGGTGTTTCATCAAAGAATAAGCATAAATGGAAAATAAACAGTAAAGCATATAATTGAAATAACCAGTCATGCTGACAATATGTGTAATATCAGCAATGGGGAAGCTGAAGCAGAAAGATCACCATGATTTAAAGACCATTCCAGGCCACACAGTGAATTCCTAGCTCCAAAAATATATATAGAATTGATTTTTGATTAATTTTGAAATAAGATATAATTGTATCTATCCTAGCCAGGAAAAAATTTTAAAACCTGATTAGTTACAGTGTCAGTAAGTATGGTTACATCAGATGATATTTTGCAAAGGGCAATCTTTTGCATCACCCACATCCCAACAATTCCACTTCATAATATATTGAGAAAAAAATTCTCATCACTACCCCAAGCTATTTTAGGATTATCCATTGTAGTGTTTTCATAGTAACAATGTCTAGGAGCTGCTCAAAACTCCTGTGACACATGAAAGATAATTTGATACATATGGGTACATATGTATTCAATAGTCATGATGTAGATGAATTTTAACTATTAGGAATCTTAGTAACAAAATACTGAGATAAAAATTGTGCAGGGTCAAAATACACAATAATTTACTGATTGCACTTTATATATAAAAAACAAAAAAATTAAGCATTATTATTGAGAAATATACAAGTATCTATGAATATAAATTTATAAAAATAAAAAATAGCTAGTTGACCTGTTTAAATTACATGGATTTAAGAATCTATATACTGATGTTACTTGCTTACAAGCATAAATTTTGTGTACTGTTAGGTCATCTACTAACTTCAAAACTTGCTTAGTTCAATCTTCATTTTATAGTTAAGACTCTGAGATCCACACAAGTCTTGAGGGTGATGTAATGATCAGAGATAAATTAAATTGTACAGTTTGAAGAGCATAGTGCAAATTAACTTTCTAAAACTTGGCTCATAATATATGGTGGGTGATTATTAATGCCATGGGAACTGCTTGAACTGCAGTTCAGTTTGTGAAAGAGTGTAATACTTCAACATTAATATAACTGGTATTTTAGTTTTTTAATATCTCATCTTATAAGCCAACAATAACCTGGGCTGCTTAGGAAATATCAGTAGCTTGAATTACATTGTATGAGAAAGTATGTTTTGAATGACACCAATATAGATTTTTTTTACTTTTTATTAAATGTAGAAATATACTAATTAAAAAGCTACTTGAACTAAAAAATCTGTTTTGAATAATGTGATATGATAAACGAAGTTATGAAAGGAGTGGAAGAAACTAGCTCAGTCAAAACATACATATATGCACATAGCTATAATGATTTATCCAGTGAAATTTAGATAAATAGCGATTATATAGCATCCAAACTGGATTTATAGGTGGCTTTGACATGTGGATAACATGTACTAGATAGGTTTAACTAATCCAAATTTGTATCTTTCCTTCTCACTTTTTAAAATTAATTAGTTGAATACTATTTATTCTTAAATGATAGAGGCATGTGATTCCCATTTGATAATAATTTTTGTCTATATCATTTCTTGCACATATAGTGAAATAAAGTGAAGAGATATGGTCCAGTATTTTTGATCATTAGAATTATAATCAAGAATTTGATAAACAGAATTATCACATTGTTATATATGATAAAAAATCACAAACATTTTAAAATGACTAAATAAATTCTAGGTATACAGTGAAATATGTGAACATTAAGTGGATTTTTGAGCATAATGATTAAAAATAATATGTGATAAAGCTAATAGCATACAAATTTAAAAGTTCATGCCTGCAGTATTAATATGGCTATTAATATTAACTGCATATAAACTAAGTGTGGCAATAATTAAAGTAATCATTTGTGGTAAATAGCTGTCAGAATATACTTAAGAACAATAATATGTATATCTTCGTTAAGATGAAAAACACATTGTATTTAATAAAATATTTTATCTGCTTTAAACCATAAAGAACAAAAGAAACATTGAATCACCTCAATTGGTTCTAGGGTAAATTATGCTGTTATCAATTTTATACTGCTAAGGGAAAATAAGGTGACACAAAATATGTTTTGTAATTGAATATACTATGGAAAATGTTTTATTTAATCTTTCAAGTGATTTAAAAAGCAATCATATATATATATATATATATATATATATATATTTAAATGAATTGTAATTTGAGCGAAACATTTTTTTCTATTTAAAACAGGAATTCAACGGTAAATTTCCAGATTCCCACAGCAAAGCTTCTTAATGAAGATGAAGAAATCCAACCACTTTCTGTGAACTTCTTAAAAGACCAAATCATCATAGGCTCTAAGAGTGGAAATAATAATGAGCTCACTTTCCACCTCAGTTTCAAGTCATCAAAACCTGTGTCATTTTTCAACAATCTTTATTTTTCTGATGACAGCAATAACTGGTAAGGTACTTGTATGCAGATTCTTCTGTACTTGATGGTGAAAAATGATAGGTTTACATACTACAACATTGTAAAATGTTAAAAGAAGGATCTCAAATAAAATTACTTCGGATCAGTTGTCATATGAAACAACATATAGTGGACTAGTATTTACTCTAAAACTAGGCTGCTTATCTTCAAATTCTGGCTTTGTTAACATTTGAGCCTCTACATTGTCTGATATATAAAATGGTACAGTGGTATGGGGCAGGACTACTATACAAGCAATAAAAAGAGCAGAGATACGTAGCCTAATGCAGCCTCCTGGTTTGATGGTACGTTGTGTGCTTTGGTTTAATGGATTCTGAAAAGATATAGCTGGGAAATGAAGCTGAATCACAAGAGTAGAATTACAGAGATTTTTAATATGAGCATATATTTTTGAGAATTCGACTATCATATATCATAAATAGACATTCCAAAGAATAAGAAAATATGTTGTACTTTCTTTCTTTCCTTCTTTTTTTGATCTGTCCTATCACCATCTGAAAAATACTTAAGGATATGTTTATTAAAACATATCCCTTAAAAAGTATAAAAATATATTTTTTTTGGTAAATCAATAACAGCTTTCTATAGGATTGTGTGTGTTTATAAAATATTTTGATGCCATTAGAAATATGTTTGAGCAATCAAAGAATTAATGTAGCAATAAAATATTCCTTTCATTGCTCTACAGATTTTATATCCTTATATACAAGGTTTTTTTTTTCTTCTTGATTTTGCTGTTAGTGTATGAAGTCATACTGTAAGAGATGGGATACAGTGCAATACACAAAGAAATATACAAACTTAATTACACAAGAAATACACAAAACTGTCAATTACCTGAGTAAAATGACTTGAGTATTGTAAAATATTGTTTTCCATCTATTTTCACTTGGAATTGAAATTTTAGCTGGTGTTTGCTTTTATGCACTAAGAAATTTAGTGTATAGTTACCTAAAACACATTTTGAGCTACAGATTTTCCATACACTATACTTTACCAATAGGAACTAGGAATTAATAATAGGAAATTTAAGGCCTACAGAGAAGTTGAAGTGACAGGCCACAATGTAGACAATGGAAAAGATGATCTGCTCTTTTTCCCTGGTTCTGAGTTCATGGCTCAAGGATCCAGATTCTATAGAAGCTAGTGGCTCCAAGAATTTTATGGAATTTTTCTTGTAGTCAGTTTCTGCCAGATATTACAGCAGAGCTTTTGTGCCCTTCCAGCCGGCAACTTGAGTATCATTAATCAGAAGTGCAATGATATTTTGTACTGAGAAACTAGCAAGGTCAGCTTTGAGGGCTTGTCTAAGAGAATAAGCAAGGTTTGGAAAATTTGGGAAGTTAGATCCAGGTGAGTTAAACTTTTAGTTTTGAACTATTGTCTTTCCATTTAAAGGTGAAGAGGAGCTGGCTTAAAAGAGCCAGTTGAAGGAAGGAGAAGGCATTTTTCGATCCAGGTAGACCTACATTTTGCAAGTGACAGAAGGCTTAGGAAATGTATATGGAGGGCAATTTTAGTGGCATTGTTGACTTGGAGATCTTGAACTGGCCTTGTGGAAGAAGAGGTATATTTTAGAGGCATAGTCTGTCAGAATCTTGAATTGTTTTAGGTGGTTGTTTGTGACTGGATGTTTGTTTGTGCTTCCTGTGACATAGGATGTGGGGGCATGATTGGTGATCAGGTCTTGTGGTATGTCTTTCACTCATTCTTCTGGGAAGAGAGCTTTCAGAATTTCAGGACTGCAGTTGTCTGTCTCAGGCTGATGCAGGCCTCATCTTCCTCTCAGGGAAATTGCCTGGTTAAATGAGAGGGACACTGACTGGCTTAGGGACAGGAATTTATGTTTGGAGAGATGTTCTCCAGGCTGCAAGTACATGCCTGGCAAAAGGGCAGCAAGAGCTCTAGTTGTCCTAGCTATGGTGACATTTTTACAGAGGGAACTTGTGAAGGCAGAGAATTCCATTCCACAGTCTACAAGAAACTCACAGGTTTGTTCCTAACTTTTGCAATGACTGTGGGCTGTTGACGGTCCAATTTTTAGAGATCAACCTGTCCTATTCATCTAGGACCAACAGAACAATGAGTTTAGATTGAGATGGACCTGGATAGTCAGGATTTTTGTGTCTCATAGATGGATCAAGCATTGGTCTTTCTATGTCCAGACTGTTTGCAGTGAGCACATTGGTCTGCTGCATAGTCATATATTCTGCCCTTAATTTTGGATTGTGAGGTCTAAGCAGCCCTCTTAGGTCAGTTGCCACAATGAGTTTGTTATCCATCCAAACATTGATCTTTACTGCTACCCATATAAACACAAATAACAAATAGCAGAACACACAATTTCATACAACAGTAGCAGACATAAAAATCAGATAAACATCAATACACGTTAAATGAGTGATCTCAATATGCAACTTTCACCATTATCACATATCAACTATGCAAAAAATTAACAAAGTGATATCAGAGTTCATCCCAATCTTAAAACAGACTTAATAAATGTCTAAAATATTTTCTATCCAACAATCAAAAATTGCACATTGTTCTCAGCAGCATATGGAAATATCTCAAAATTTGAGCTATATATGAGCTCAAAAAGCATGCTTAAGTAAATGTAAAATAATAGAAATTATGCATAATATAAAATAATAGTTTAATAAGGCTATAAATAAATAGTAAAAGAAACCACAGAAACTAAGCAAATGACTGAAAAGTAATCAATATACCATTAAATAAGCTGTGGATTGCAGTTGAAATTAAGGAAGAAAATAGACATCCTATATTGAAAGTGTACTAGTGTGACATCCCAGAACCTAGGGAACACAGTGGAAGCAGTCCTAATAGTCAAGTTTATATCTGAAAATTCTCATAATAAAAAAAAACTGAGTTATCTCAAGTGACCTGATTAGACACCTAAGGTGTTAGAAAAACAATAAAAATCCAAATCCAAAGCTATCACAAGAAAAAAATAAAGATCAGAGCATGAATTAATTCAGTTGAGACTAAATAACACAATCAATGAATTGAAGGATTGTTTCTTTGAAAGAATAACCGAAATAGACAAACCCTTACAAAATATTATTAAAATAAGGAAAGAGCCAAATCCATGCATTTAGTAATTTTTTAAAAAGGTAAAATCATAACAGACTCTTCCAAAACCCACAAAGAATCATTGGCAATGGATTTGAGAACCTGTATTCTAATAAACGAAAAAATAAAAAAAAATGATAGATTCTCACACACAAGGGAGCTACCAACAAAGAAGTAATTTTTAAAGTTCACCATGAAAATGCTGGATCTCAACAGATTTGCTGCCAAATTCTACAAGCACTTTAAAGATCTACTGTCAATGTTTCTCAGACTCTTTAATGAAGTTAAAAGGGAAGAACTGCCCCCAAAGAAATCTGTGAAAATAATATATATTGAAATTACAAAATTATTAAATGACTCCAAAAAAGGGAACTACATATCAAGCTCTTCAATGAACATAAATGCAAATTCCACAGTGTGATACAGGAACATAGAATGCAACAAATCATAGAAATATCATACATTTTTTACAAGTTGGAAGCATTCCATGAATTCAGGAATGTTTTCACATGTGCAAATTAATAAATGTAAATACATCACAGAAATAGATGCAAGGACAATAATCAATCATGTCTGTAGATACAGAAAAATGATTTGATAAAAAATCGTGAGAAAAAACATGAGGAATATAGGTATAAAAAGTATTTGTCTAAATCTAATAAAAAGGCATCTATAACAAAACAATGACCAGCCATACTTAGTGGAGAAAAACTATAAACTTTCATTCCAAAACCAGGGATAAGAAGCACGTCTCATATTACCACTTCTCAATACAGTTCTCAAAACATCAGCCAGAGCAAATAGACTAGCAAAAGAAAAGGGTTATGAATGTGCAAGCAAGTAATTGTCATTATTTGCAAATGACAGGATCCTCTACATAGAAAACCTCAAAATCTTTACCAAAAGAGTCCTACAAGTAATAACCAAACACAATAGTTTAGCAGGATACAAAGACAAGAATCCAAAATCAGTAATATTCCTCTTAAAAAAAACTTATTGAGACAAAATTAAAGAAATGTAAACATTTTCAATAGCATTAAGAAAATAGAAATACCTATTAGTTAATCTAACCAAGGGAATAGGCCTGATGTTATACACAGAGATATATGTCCAGGGTATCCTGGTGGCCCAGAGTCTCTCAACTCCTTCCAGTCAGTGACAGGGCCCCAGCATCTCCACATTTCAAGGGTGTGTCCCTGATAGCTGCACAGAATAGCTGAGCTCTGCCTAGAACAGAGCCCCAGTGCAATCCATCAGAAACATTCAAACAACCTCACAGGTCACAGAAGTACAGGACACTACACAGCTTAGAAACCTAGAGCTACCTATCAGGAGAGACCAGCCTAGCCAATGGGTTCTGGAGAATTTGAGCTCCACCCATCAGAGCACAAGACTTCAGCACAAGTTTCAGGCAAGTTCCCCAGCTAGCACTGTGGATCTATGCTGGTGCAATACTTTGGAGGTGCATCCAGGCTAACTGCAGAGCCCAGAGGCTCTAAATTCCTCTCAGCCTGGTGCAAGGTTCTGTTGGTGCCACCCTCCAAGGGTGTATCCCTGCTAGCTGCCTGGGTCCTAGACATTCTGAACACCCAGTGAGGAGTAAGACCCCAGTGACACACTCCAGGGGTGCATCTCTGCTAACTGCAGAGAGAATTCGAGCTCAGCCCAGCCAGTATTTCAGTGTAACCCAGTGTTAACCTAGAGAACAGCTGACCAGCCTCACAGGTCACAGAGCACAAGGCTCCAGCAGCACGGTTTGGGGGAGTGTCCTGGTTAGCCACAGTGATATCAGAAGATTGAAGGTCTTCCTAGCTCAGCATTCCACTGTAATCCATCAGGAGGGTACCTGGCCAGCCACCCATGTCCCAGAGGAAAAT